TAACCCATAGTGAGCAAAGGTTTACAGTGTATATTTTTGAGTCAATATCTCACTCTGTGGCCTGGGCTGGAGTACAGTGGTGTGATCATAGCTCACTGTAGCCTTGAATTCATGAGCTCAAGTGATCTTCCCACCTCAGCCTCCCTAATACCTGAGAGTACAAGTGCCCACCACCACTCCCAGCTAAGTTTACTTATTCTTAATTTTTTTTAGAGATGAGGGACTCACTATGTTGTCCAAGCTGGTCTTCAACTTCTGATCTCAAGCAATTGTCTTGCCTTAGCATCCTGAATTGCTGGGATTACAGGCGTGAGCTGTCATGCCTGGCTTGTAATGTACTGACACCATCATGGTTTCCTTCTCCACATGTGGACGCAGCAGCAGACACCCCTTGTCTCTTGGGTCAGGACACTGGGTAGGGTGGAATAGCAAGGCAACAGAGTCACTGCAGAAAGTGCCCATGTGGAAGAGGTCCAGCAGGGAGGGCCAGCTGTCCCAGGACCACCATATTTAGGGATAACTCCTCTTTCTGGCCAGGACTGTTCCTTGATTACTTTTGTATTCACTATAGTTCTGAAATCGTAGGATGATGAGACTCAAGACTGGCTAGTTTTTTTTTTTTTTTTTTTTTTTTTTTTTTTTTTTTTTTTTTTTTTTTTTTTTTTTTTTTTTTTTTTTTTTTTTTTTTTTTTGTATCAATTTCCTTCACAACTTAACTCATTCTTAACATTTCACAGTCCACTTTCAGTTAATAATGTACTAGTACCCATAAATATAAAAATCTTGCAACCATCTATCCTCTATAAAATGTCCATCTTTTATGTTACAGACATTATATGTAATATACTCTATGTAGGTTATAAGTCTCACAAGAAAAAAATTTTTCTTATCTTTAAACAGTTCTATGTATATACAGGAAGTGTAAATGAGGGGAGCAAGATAGCCTTTTGCACTTAGCTCAATATTTACCATTTTTGATCATCTTCATCTCTTCTGATAATCTCATTTTCCACCTGCTATCATTTGTCTTTAGCCTGAAGAATTTTCTTTACCAATTGATACTGTGCAGATCTGCTGGTGATAAATTCTCTTAATTTTGTGTTACCTGAAATATCTCCTTATTTTGCCTGTCCTTGAAGGACATCTGGGCTGGATATAGAATTCTTGGTTGACCGTTTTTTCTTCCAGCACTTTAAAGATGTTATTCTACTTTCTTTTGTTCCTATGTTTTCTAATAAGAAGTCATTGATCAGGACAAAAGGAACACAGAAACAAAAACTGGGAAAATAACATGGTATACCTAAAACTTACCGTATCAGTAATGACAGAAACTTATATGAATCAACACTCCAGTGAACGGCAGGGATTGTGTGATTCGGTTTAAAAAAAACACAGAGTTCAACCATATGCTCTTTCCAGACATGCATTTTCTTTCTTTTTTATTTAACTTTTATTTTTAGTTAAAGGGTACATGTGCAGATTTGTTATATAGGTAAATTTGTGTCATGGGGTTTTGTTGTACAGATTATTTCTGTACCCATTAGTACCCATCCAAGTATTAAGCCTTAGTACCCATTATCTCTTTTTCCTGATCCTCTCCTTCATTCCACCCTTCACCCTCAAGTATACCCCAGTGTGTGTTGTTCTTCTCTATGTGTCCATGTTTTCTTATTTAGCTCCTATTTATAAGTGAGAACGTGTGGTACTTGGTTTTCTGTTCATGTGTTAGTTTGGTAAGTATAATGGCCTCCAACTCCATCCATGTTCCTGCAGAGGACATGATCTCATTCATTTTTATGGCTGTATAGTATTCTATGGTGTATATGTGCCACATTTTTTTTTTAAATCCAGTGTGCCATTGATGGACATTTCGTTTGATTCCAAGTCTTTGCTATTGTGAATAGTGCTGCAATGAACATATGCATACACATAAGACATGCACTTTCTATTCTATTTATTTTGTTTTATTTTACTTTAAGTTCCAGAATACATGTGCAGAATGTCCAGGTTTGTTACATACATATAGTATGCTATGGTGGTTTGCTGCACCTATTGACCCGTCCTCTAAATTTCCTCCCCTCGTTCCCCACTCCCAACAGGTTCTGGTGTATGTCATTCCCCTCCCTGTGTCCATGTGTTCTCATTGTTCAACTTCCACTTAGGAGTGAGAACATGCAGTGTTTGGTTTTCTGTTCTTATGTTAGTTTGCTGAGGATGATGGCTTCACATTTCATCCATGTCCCTGCAAAGGACATGAACTCATCTCTTTTTATGGCTGTGTAGTATTCCATGGTGTATATGTACCACATTTTCTTTATCCAGACTATCATTGATAGGCATTTGGTTTGGTTCCATATCTTTGCTACTGTAAATAGTTCTGCAATAAACACACATGTGGATGTGTTTTTATAGTAGAATGATTTGTATTCCTTTGGGTATACCCAGTAATGAAATTGCTGGGTCAAACAGTATTTCTGGTTCTAGATCTTTGAGGGATGGCCACACTGTCCTCCACAATGGTTGAACTACTTTACATTCCCATGTGCGCTCTCATCATTCTTGTTTAAACACCTAACCGGCATCCTAACCAGTGCAACATGGCAAGAAAATGAAATAATAGACCAATAGAAGGAGTGGGCATGGTGGCTCACACTTGTAATTCCTACATTTTGGGAGGCTGAGGTGGGAGGATCATTTCAGTTCAGGAGTTTGAGACCAGCCTGATAGTGTCACCTCATCTCTACCAATTAAAAATAATTTTAAGAGGAAAAAGATCAACAGATAGGAAAGGAAGAAATATAAGTCCTTCTTTGTCACCAGCTTTATTGCACATGCAGAAAACACTAGGGAATTCTGAAAGAGTCTCTGGAATTAATTATTGAATTCGCAAAATAGTTCAGAAAATATATGTAATAATCCACTTAGATGAACATGAAAAGATAGAAAACAATACTGGTCATCAAAGAAGTGAAAGTAAAAACCACAATCAGAAACCACCACACATCCCCTAGAATAGGTAAAGTTAAAAAGACATATGATAAGTCTAAATACTGGCAAGAATATGGAACAAATACCAATGTCTGTATTGCTGGTTTGAATGCAAAAAATGTTGCAGCCAATTTGTAAAGTGGTTTGGCAATTTCTTATATAGCTACCCATCCATTACCACATGACCCAGCAATCCCACAAATATGTATTTATCCGAAAGAAATAAAAGTGTAAGGCCACACTTGTAAGCAGTTACTTATAGTGGCTTCATTAATAATGCACCCTAACTGGAGTAATCCACATGTCTATCAACTGGAGAATAGAGAAACCAATGAATAAACTGGGATTCCAGCCAATACTTGGCAGCTGCTTAGCAACAAAAATGAATGAATGGCATCATCTCAAACATCGTTATGCTAAGTGAGAGACCAAACCAAGGACTGCATATGATTACATGTCCATGAAATTGTAGAAATTTCACTACTGCAGTGACAGAAAGCAGAGCAGTGGTTGAGTGAAGGGAAGGGGTGAGGGTGGGAGGCAAGGATTAAATAGAAAGGGGCATAGAGAAAGTTTTTAGGGAAAAGAAACTGTTCTCTACAGTGCCACAATTCTGGAGTGACTGGGCAGTGGGAACTACGGGGAGAGGACGGATGAGAGGGACAGAGAGAAGGGCTGGGGAAGCGGGAGGTGAGGAAAAGGAGCAGGGGAAAGAATTCTAAAGCAGCGGAGGAGCCTAAGAGGAGGTTCTTTCCATTCCATATTTACTACATTTTGTGGGACTAAGAACTAACGGCCTCCTTAAGATTTAAAAAAAAGGATTACAAAAATGTTAAATGTCCATATAAAATATGCACACTGCTTAGATGTGCATAATGAAAACAGTCAGTGATGGAGCCTCAGTGGAGAGCATTGGGACTGCATGGAGCACTTGCAACTTTGAGGTGATGACTACAGGCTCCCGGTTCAATACACAGTAACAAACCTGCTTCTTTGTATTCAGGAGATGTTTTGGACTCACATAGGGAATCTTGGACTAGGGAAGAAAGATAATTTTAAAATGTAACAACTCAGAGTCACAGATCCATAGTCTGGGAAAGTAAAACTTAGGAGCTTTGAGAGTTTAACTGTAATGCTGTTTTGACACAGGTCTTTTACAGATTGGAATTCTAATCATTCAGGGATTACCAATATTGTGCTACCTACTGTATTAATAAACAAAAAGGAAACTGGTCTTTATCCGAATCTCTATCTGGTGCCTTCAGACAAAACTTCACCAGGTTTAAAGAGAAAACCCGTCTCTACACCTCCATTCCCAGGGGTGAGTTTCCTTGTACAAAAGCACAAGGGGAGAGGTAAGGAGTGGGAGGCAGGGAGTCCAGTTCAGGGACAGGCGATTCCAGGATGAGAAGTGAAAGGGAAGGGGCTGGGCGCAGCCTGGGTATCTCTCCCTGGTTTCCACAGACGGATCTTTGGCCAGGACTCGGGCAGTCAGTGTGATAAAGAGGCTTGGTGTAGGAAAAGAGGGCTCAGGACAAAATCTCAGGTCCCGGGCGTCGTTCTCAGGGTCTCAGGCACCGAAAGCGGTGTCTGCATTGGGGAGGCGCAGCTTTGGGGATTCCCCACTCACCTGAGTTTCACTTCTCCCAACCTGTATCGGGTCTTTCTTTCTGGATACTCAAGACGCGGACCCAGTTCCCACTTCCACTGGGTGTGGGTTTTCTAGAGAAGCCAATCAGCGTCGCCGCGGTCCCGGTTCTAAAGTCCCCACTCACCCACCGGGACTCAGATTCTTCCCAGACGCCGAGGATGACGGTCATGACGCCCCGAACCCTCCTCCTGCTGCTCTCGGGGGCTCTGGCCCTGACCGGGACCCGGGCGGGTGAGTGCCGGGTCTCGGTGGAAACGGCCTCTGTGGGGTGGAGCGAGGGTCCCGCCCGGCGGGGACGCAGGACCCGGGGAGCCGCGCCGGGCGGAGGGTCGGGCGGGTCTCAGCCCCTCGTCGTCCCCAGGCTCCCACTCCTTGAGGTATTTCTACACCGCCGTGTCCCGGCCCGGCCGCGGGGAGCCCCGCTTCATCGCCGTGGGCTACGTGGACGACACGCAGTTCGTGCGGTTCGACAGCGACGCCGCGAGTGGGAGAGGGGAGCCGCGGGCGCCGTGGATGCAGCAGGAGGGGCCGGAGTATTGGGAGGGGCAGACTACGGGTTTCAAGGCCAACGCACAGAGTTCCCGATTGTGCCTGAGGATCCTGCCCGGACACTACAACCAGAGCGAGGCCAGTGAGTGACTCCGGCCCGGGGCGCAGATTACGACCCCTTCCTATCGCCCACGGGCGGCCTGGGTGTCCCCGAGTCTTCGGGTCCAAGGTCCACTCCGAGGCTGCGGGACCCGCCCAGACCCTCCACGGGAGACAGCTCCTGCATTTTCAGTTTAGGTCACAATCCCCGCGGGTTGGTTGTGGGCCTGGGGCTCGGTGGGAGGGGCTGACCGCGGGGGCGGGGCCAGCGTCTCACACCTACCAGAGAATGTACGGCTGCGAAGTGGGGCCAGACGGGCGCTTCCTCCGCGGGTATTACCAGTCGGCCTACGACGGCAAGGATTACCTCGCCCTGAACGAGGACCTGCGCTCCTCAACCGCCGCGGACACGGCGGCTCAGATCGTCCAGCGCAAATGGGAGGCGGCCAATCTGGTGGAGGGGTGGAGAGCCTACCTGGAGGGCAAGTGCGTGGAGATGCTCCGCAGATACCTGGAGAACGGGAAGGAAACGCTGCAGCGCGCGGGTACCAGGGGCAGTGGGGAGCCCTCCCCATCTCCTGTAGATCTCCCGGGCTGGCCTCCCACGAGTAGGGGAGGAAATGGGATCCGCGCTAGAATATACCCCTCCCTTGAGTAAAGAATGGGATGAGTTTTCCTGAGTTTCCTCTGAGGCCCCCTCTGCTCTCTAGGACAATTAAGTGATGACGTCTCTGAGGAAATGGAGGGGAAGACAGTCCTTGGATTCTGATGGAGTCCCCTTTGACCCCTGCAGCAGCCTTGGGCGCCGTGACTTTTTCAGCCCCTGTTCTCTGCCTCACAGTCAGTGTGTTTGAAGGTCTGATTCCAGCTTTTGTGAGTCCCCTGACCTCTTTTCAGGTCAGGACCAGAAGTCGCAGTTCCTCCTCAGAGACTAGAACTTTCCACAGGATAGGAGATTATCCCAGGTGCCTGTGTCCAGGCTGGTGTCTGGGTTCTGTGCTCCCTTCCCCACCCCAGGTGTCCTGTCCATTCTCAGATGGTCATATGGGTGCTGCTGGAGTGTCCCATAAGAGATACAAATTGCCCAAATTTTCTGACTCTTCCCATCAGAACCCCCAAAGACACATGTGAACCACCACACCATCTCTGACCAAGAGGCCACCCTGAGGTGCTGGGCCCTGGGCTTCTACCCTGCGGAGATCACACTGACCTGGCAGCGGGATGGGGAGGACCAAACTCAGGACACCGAACTTGTGGAGACGAGGCCAGCAGGGGATGGAACCTTCCAGAAGTGGGCAGCTGTGGTGGTGCCTTCTGGAGAGGAGGAGAGATACACGTGCCATGTGCAGCACGAGGGGCTGCTGGAGCCCCTCACCCTGAGATGGGGTAAGGAGGGGGATGGGTAAGGAGGGAATGGGAGTCATGTTTCTTCTCAGGGAAAGCAGAAGCCCCTCTGGAGCCCTTCAGCAGGGTCAGGGCTGAGGCTTTGAGTCAGGGTCCCTCACCTTCCTTTCCTTTCCCAGAGCCATCTTCCCAGCCCACCATCCCCATCGTGGGCATCGTTGCTGGCCTCGTTCTCCTTGGAGCTGTGGTCACTGGAGCTGTGGTCACTGCTGTGATGTGGAGGAGGAAGAGCTCAGGTAGGGAAGGGGTGAGGAGTGGGGTCTGCATTTTCTTGTCCAACTAGGGGTTTCAAGCCCCAGGTAGAAGTCTTCCCTGCCTCATTACTGGGAAGCACCATCCACACGTGGGCCGGCCCAGCCTGGGGCCCTGTGTGCCAGCACTTACTCTTTTGTGAAGCACATGTGACAATGAAGGACAGATGTATCACCTTGATGATTGTGGTGTTGGGGAACTGATCCCAGCATCCATGAGTCAGGGGAAGATTCCTGCTAAGGACAGGCCTTAGGAGGGTGGTTGGTCCAGGATCCACACCTGCTTTCCTGGTGTTTTCTGATTCTGCCCTGGTCTGTAGTCATAGTTCTGGAAACTTCTCTTGGGTCCAAGACTAGGAGGTTTCTCTAAGATCTCATGGTCCTGCCTCCTCCCTGTCCCCTCACAGGACATTTTCTTCCCACAGGTGGAAAAGGAGGGAGCTACTCTCAGGCTGCGTGTAAGTGGTGGGGGTGGGAGTGTGGAAAACCTCACCCACCCCATAATTCCTCCTGTCCCACATCTCCTGTGGGCTCTGACCAGGTCCTGCTTTTGTTCTATCCCAGGCAGCGACAGTGCCCAAGGCTCTGATGTGTCTCTCACAGCTTGTAAAGGTGAGATTCTGGGGGTCTGAAGTGGGTACGGGGTAAGGCAGAGGGGAAAGGACTGAGTAATGGTGATTCTTTGATTGGGACATTTTGAGTGTGTAGTGGGCTGTTGCGAGTGTCATCACTTACCATGACTGACCTGAAAATTATTCATGACTTGTTTTCTGTAGCCTGAGACAGCTGCCTTTTGTGGGTCCGAGATGCAGGATTTCTTCACGCCTCCCCTTTGTGACTTTAAGAGCCTCTGGCATCTCTTTCTGCAAAGGCATCTGAATGTGTCTGTGTCCCTGTTTGCATAATGTGAGGAGGTGGAGAGACAGCCCACCCCGTGTCCACTGTGACCCCTGTCCCCATGCTGACCTGTGTTCCCTCCCCAGTCATCTTTCCTGTTCCAGAGAGGTGGGGCTGGGTGTCTCCATGTATGTCTCAACTTCATGGTACACTGAGCTGCAACCACTTACTTCCCTATGAAAAATAAGAATATGAATATAAATGTGTTTTCTCAAATATTTTCCATGAGAAGTTGATGGGTTAATTAAATAAGTCAATTCCTAAAATTTGAGAGAGGAAATAAATACCTGAGAACCTTCCAGAATCTGCATGTTCACTGTGCTAAGTCTGTTGCAGGTGGGGATGGAGAAGGCTGTGAGGAGCCGAGTGTGGACGGGGCCTGTGCCCAGTTGCTGTTGAGTCTATCATGGGCTTTATGTGGTCAGTTCTCAGCTGGGTCAGCTTCACTGCTCCATTGTCCTTGTCCCTTCAGTGGAAACTTGTCCAACAGGAGCTGTGACCACAGAGGCTCACATATCGCCCAACATGGCCCCTGCACATGGGAGTCTGAGATAAATTTTCAGACCCATTCAGCTCCTGCCCTTCTTCTAGCGCTCCTCTTCTGCTCTGCTCTCCTGCCCTCTCTCTCCCTGCCCTGGTTCTAGTGATCTTGGTGCTGGCTCCAATCCCAACTCATGAATCTATAAAGCAGAGTCTAATTTAGACTTATATTTGTTTGTGAATTGGACTCATCATCAAGGACTATTCTTTCTTGAAAAGCGAAGCCTGATTGTATGTTGCAGTGTGCAGGGGTGTGCGTGGGTTGGGAGTAGGTGTGGGAGGAGGGATGGGGGAGGGAGGACACACTAGCAGCCCTGCTGAGAAAAGCACAGGCAACCTCAATGTCAGCGTGAGGGGTCCTTGTGCCATAGCTGCCAAGAAACGGCACTTGGCCTGAGTCTATGTTAATAAAGGTACTGCCTTTAGAATAGGAGATGCTCTACAGTGACCTTCATTGTCAGCTGGACACAGGACAGAGTGGTTCTGCATATTGGGAACAGCATTGAAGTAAAATCAGAAAAATCTCTTACCTTGTGGAGCATGTGTTCCAGTGGGAAGAGGCAGATGATAGATACACTATAACCAGAGCAAGGAAGGAAAGTGCTAGTAGGTGGGAAATGCTGTGAGGTAGGTGATCCAGGGTGTGGGCAGTGGGGACAGCATAGGTGGCTGTTGTGTTGAGGTGGTCAGTATGCACCACGTTGCAAAGGTGACCTTTGAGGAAAGAATTGAGGGACATGAGGAGTGTCCATGAGGATATCTGGGGAAGTTCTTTCCAGGCAGGGGAACCTCCAGTGCAAATGCAGTAGGGCAGGAAGGTGTCTGTGTTCCCAGGAGAGGAAGGAGCCCAGGAGGGCTGGAGAGAGAGAAGCTGAGGTGAGGTCAAAGGTACAGCCAGGGCAGGTGGGCCTGGAGGGTGTGGAGAAGCATCTGACCTTTGCTCTGAGTAAGATGGGGAGCTAGCGGACGGTTTTGAGCAGAAGAGAGACATGGTACAACTTCTCTTTTAAAAGGATCTCTGCTGTGCTGAGAACAGAATTGAGAGGTGAGGGACATGGGAGGCAGAAGGGAAAACAGTGGGAAGTGAGTTCAGTATTCCAGGCTGGAGATGTCGTTACCTTGACTGGGGTGTGAGCCGGGGGAATAGTGGGATGTGAGGGGATTCTGGATGCATTTTAAGATGGACACACAGCATTTGCCAATGGATTGTATCTGTGGTATGAGAAAGATGGATTAAGGACACCCATAGTTGTGAAATGAGTGAGTAGAAGGAAGGGTGGAGCTGCTGTCAGTGGAGATGGGGGACTCTGGCAGGAGCATACTGAGGAGGGGGCACTCAGGCACTCAGTGGAGGAGATGTCTACTAGGAATGCAGGTGAGGGAGCTGGGGTGGCAGTTGGACAGACAACTCCAGAGTTTATGGGAAATGAAAAATAGACTGGGCTGGATAAATAGATTTAGGAGGTCACACCATATAAACAATACTTAAAACCTCAAGCATGGATGAAGGCACCAAGGCAGCGACTGGCTATAGAAGAGAATGAGTGCAAGGACTGAACCCTGGACCTCCAGTTCTAAGGGATCTGATCAGACCATACCGAGAGCAGACTGCACCGTTCTGACCCCACGCCTAGAGGACACTTAGACAAGGACCTCCCATGTGCACAGGGATCACCTGGATGTGGTGCTGAGATCTAAGAACTCCAGGGTTGAGCAAGAGATTCTGGATTTATGACAAGACTGGAGCCTATGTTTCTGGTC